TTTATGTGTGACTTGCCATTGGGTAGATGATCAATGGTTGTTACAAAAAAGAATAATACAATTCAAAATGCTTGAATACTCACACACTGGCATTAACATTGCTCACCATTTAATGCAAGCAATAGACGAATACAACCTTCGAGATAAAATGATGTCTATGACTTTTGACAATGCAACCTCTATGACAGACACAGCTAATCTTGTCAAACAAAACTTAACCGATGTAATATTAGACGGTGATGCTCTTCATACTAGATGTGTTTGCCATGTACTTAACTTATGTGTACAGGATGGAGTTCGGGCAATTGGCCCATACTACAACAAAATCAGAGATGCTATTATGTCTATTAATAGCTCAAACATGAGGTACCAAGAATGGAAGAGTTTTCTAAGACAACAAAAGATAAGGGCAATAAAAATCAAAACCGATTGTCCAACTAGGTGAATTCCACCTATGACATGTTAACCAAGGCAATTGAGTACAAGGGCCCGTTAACACTATTTTCCAACCAAAAATTTCCACAAACTGCTTTATATGATGATGATTGGTATAACTGTGAAAGATATATGCAATTTTTACAGTTATTATATAACATGACGTATTGTTTTTCTTCTTTTTACAATCCTTGTGCTCAAAACTTTCTTTCTAATGCATGTTTACTCACCCAACTTTTCGCTGATCATCGCAACCAAAGTGATTATGATCAGTATCTTCCAGCAATGGAAACAAAGTGGCGTAAATATTAAAGTGAAATTCCTTTGATTTATATTTTTGCTTCCATATTAGATCCTAGGCAAAAGTATGAAAACACATTTATGTTAGTTGACATTTACTTTCAATGCATGCTTCTTGACGATGATGTATAAAACTATAAGACTAATGTGAAGGATCAGTATTTTTCTTTATATAGAGTCCATGAAGCCAGATATGGCACCGTTCCTCGCTCAGGGCCTTCCCAACCATCCAAAAACGTAAGTAAGAAGGCCAACCATTTATTTTCACAAGCTACTAACTTGATTTCAAGGTTTTCAGGTGATTCATCAATCAGGAGAACGCAAAGCGACGTCTCGGAGTTGTAGATGTACCTGAGTTACGACTTCACCAAAGGCATGGACGACGATGAGATAAACAGCCTTGACCTCCTTGCATGGTGGAAACAACAAAGCGGGAAGCATCCAACTTTGGCGGCAATGGCACGAGACATTCTTGGTATCCAAGTCTCCTCTGTTGCCTCCGAACGAGCTTTTAGCGCATCCGGAAGGGTTCTGGACGATAGAAGAACAAATCTAAAACCCAAAACACTAGAAATGTGCGTGTGTTTCAAAGATTGGTTGGATGCGGAAAATCGCTCACAAGACCGTTCTTACGAGGACAACGACAACGATGAAGGAACCTCCGCTTCCGACCGTTCGGGTTCGGCTAGTTCCCAATCTATCCAACTAGCCGATGAAGCCGAAACCGAAACCGACGACGAAGACGAGCAAGAAGAAGAAGAAGAATAGACAATTTTTGTATATTGTACGATTTTAATCATTATCAATATTATCATTTACCAATTTTTGTTTAATACCATCATTGTACGATTTTTATCATTGTTATCATTGTACAATTTTCTCAACTCAAGTAATAATAATATGAAGTACGCATTATTAACATCCAAAGTCCAATTTGCCTTTTTTTTCCCGTTTTGTTATAATTTGAAAATTCATATTAAAAAAAATTAAAATTATACCAATTAGTAATACAAAATTATAGTTAATAAATCATAAACATTAAATTTTAAAGTAATAGTATAAAGTAAATACATAAATATAAATATTGAATATACAAAATTATAAAACACAAATATTCAACTTAATTTATTTTATACCTTATAATTTTATAACTTATAACTTATAAAACTTATAATTATAATTTTATAACTTATAAGTTATAATTATAATTTAAGTTATAAATTTTTATAACTTATAACTTATAATTATAATTTTATATTTTTATAAATTATATACATTATAATATAAGTTATAATTTTATAACTTATTTAAAAAAAAAATTAAAAAAAATCTGGAAACTGCCCAGCCCGTAGCCAGCCCGCCAGGCCGGCACGCAGGCCGGCATGTGGCAGGCACGGCACAAGCCCGCCAGGCACGAGGGCCGTGCCAGGCCATGGGCTGGCCTATGAAAATGGTCGGCACGGCACGACACGAGGTTTTGGGCACGGCGGCACGATCGGCACGGCATGCCGTTGACCGTGGCCCGCGGCGGCACGACACGGAACGATGCCCACCTTTACCCCCCACCATGACCACGATATCACCACCCACTACCACCATTTTCTCAGCCCCGCTGCCATCCCCTCCACTCACCAGCAGCGCAGCCCCCACCCCCACCTGTCGGAATCCCCCTCCCCACAACCTACCCGCTGACATCGGTTCCCCTCCCTAAATCCAGCACGATTACATATTCTTGTGGAAGCTACACCGGAATCCACAAACATGTTCTTCTTCCTTATTATCGCCGGAAACGGACTCCGATTCATATTCACGGCGGTGTCTGTTTGGAGACGTCGGTTGGTTATCGACTGAGAATCGAACCGATGACGGCGTAGTAGTAGTAGCCGCCATTGTTGGTACAGAGGAGAGAGAAAGCGAGTTTTTTCAATGGGGGTGGTGGGGATTGCATTGCCGGCTGGTGGAGGGATGGCAACGGAGGGGGATGCCGATGGAAATGGCCATGGGTGGAGACTGCACTGCCGACGGGTGGGGGGAAGGCGGCAAGGGCTGTCTGCAAAAACAACCATTGGTGGAGGTGGGTTACGTATGTATGGACGTACTGTGGGGGCTGGGGTTTTTTATGTTTTATATTAAAAAGTTGTTTTTTTGCGGACACGTGTCCTTTAACCCGCTGCAATAGGTTGGGTCCATTAAAAGCTAATGACCTCTAAAGTTCGGATAATTTAAAAATAATCCAATCCATAGTTAGAATTATTTTTATCAATTTTTCCAATAAAGAACACAAGGACTTACGTGGTTCGGTCAAATTAAACCTACATCCATAGGTGGAAGATTCGAGAGATTATTCACTATAATGAAGAAAGAACAAGAGAATAAAACAAGGAGTCCTAAATCTTAATAGCTCTCTAAGGTGTGATTTAATTGATCAAAAACACAAGAAAACCTTAATAAAACCCTTAATTGTTCCCTAAGTATACTCAAATAGCCGTCATATAGAAGAAATATAGTTTTAGGAAATATTGCATAAAACAATTACGCTTAAAACCGAACTAAAAACTGAAATTTCAGACTAGACATGGACATTCGTGCCTATTTTTGGCACAGACGTGCCTGTTCGAGTACTCCGTTAGCAAACTTCCAACATCGTTAGCTCAATTCTTCGTAAAATGACCATAACCTTTTCGTTTCTTATTGCAATTGGGCATATGACCTATTGTTAGAAAGCTCTTGAAATAAGCTATCATCTCCAATTTGAATCACCTCAAAATCACTTATAGTTTGAGAGATATTTGCATTTAAAGTTAGCCTTACTAGATTTCAATTCACAAATTAACAGCTAAGATAGTCGCTTAGATGGTAGTGGCTGGGAAGGTAGTGTGAGTAGGACGGTGGTCGTGGTGTATAGTGGGTGTTTGGGTTAAAGAGTGGTAATGTAGTTGGTAAAATCATGGAAGAAAAAGATGGTGTACCTTGATTTTTAATTTGTTATATTTTTACAAATTACTCTACTGGATTAATAAGAAACCAATGCCAAGTTGACGCATCATTTTTTTTAAGGACTATTTTGTGAAGGGTTATGCAAGTAGGGGTTGATTATTTTAAGTAAAATTGTAGTTGAGATTAAAATGAGAAGAGGTCAATAGTTGAGATCATTTTTGTTATTTTTTTCTATCAAGATGTATAAAAGCTTGATCTAATGTAAGTATACACAAAGACTAATCCAAAAGTATTTTACATGGTGATATATATTTTTTGTATATTGATTAAAAGTACAGTTTAAGTAAGCATATCAATAGTGTAAAAGTCAAAGTGTTACGATTATTACGAAATAAACGAAGTATTTAATAGCTTGTTTATGGACACATTATCTACAAGTATTTAACTACTAAAATTATTAGCTTGCCTGTTTGAAAAAAAAAATTATTAGCTTGCCAACTTGGTACAACACTAGTTTATACCATACTAATATGCGTATAAACAAGATTATCACTAGTATAAACAAGATTATATATGCATTAGTATAGGTAACACTAATAAGTGTTGGTACTTTTGCTACTGTAGTGGTGTCAATTCGGGTATTCGGGTTGAATTCGGTGAAGTTGGATCGCGTGTATTCTTAAACTTGGGTACGGTCATGCAAAAAATTATGTTCATGCGAGTCGAAATCTGAATCGAATATTTTTCGGGTCAGTTTTGAATCGGGTCAAGTCGGGTTGGGTAGGTGTGGTTTTGACACCTCTAAGTGGTACCCTATATATGCACATTAAGCAACACATAATGTATAGGGTAATGCATATTAGGTACATCTTATAAACTGGTATAAATTAGTGAATGTATGAGTAATTAATATTAAGCTATTCTCAATCTCAAGCTTCTTATGTACCCTTAAGGTTGCATTTTATCAATTTCCTAGTATATAATCGTTTATTTATTTTCATTTGGACATTAATTATCTGTCAAATCTTGTAAGTACCCAAAACACTTCTCATGGAGTCATGGGGTTATGATAGTAGCGTTGGCAAGATTGTGACTATTTTGTTCTAACTCATGAAAATCCAACATGAACTAGATTAATGCAATCCCAATATCTCCACATGTCCTCCCCTCACTGGCCAGCAACTAAACGGTCAAAAATCTTAAACTGCATGGCTAATACCTTGCCACCTAAGACACTACCAAAAATCCTCTCAAGCTAATAAGAAATCAGATAATGATATCCCCTTAGATAAGAAGATACAACATTTTTCCCTATATAAAACAATCCATATTATTACATTTATTTTCATCACTTCAACAAACATAAAAAAAATATTCTTGTTACATAATTGTTATAGTTCTTAGCTCGCCCTCTTAACAATGGCCTCCTCAACAATGGCACTTTCTTCCCCTTCTTTGGCCGGGCAGGCAGTTAAACTTAGCTCCGCCTCTGAAAACATCCTAGGTGGGGGAAGGATCACCATGAGGAAAACTGCAGGAAAGCCCAAAAATGTTTCATCAGGAAGCCCATGGTACGGCCCAGACCGTGTTAAGTATTTGGGCCCATTCTCTGGTGAGGCCCCATCATACCTCACTGGTGAATTTCCTGGAGACTATGGTTGGGACACAGCGGGCCTTTCCGCTGACCCAGAGACCTTTGCTAAGAACCGTGAGCTTGAGGTGATCCACTGCAGATGGGCCATGTTGGGTGCTTTGGGCTGTGTTTTCCCCGAGCTCTTGGCCCGTAACGGAGTTAAGTTCGGCGAGGCCGTTTGGTTCAAGGCTGGGTCACAAATCTTTAGTGAGGGCGGGCTTGACTACTTGGGTAACCCAAGTTTGATCCATGCCCAAAGTATTTTGGCTATTTGGGCCTGCCAAGTTATCTTGATGGGTGCCGTTGAGGGTTACCGTGTTGCCGGTGGTCCACTTGGTGAAGTAGTCGACCCACTTTACCCCGGGGGTAGCTTTGACCCATTGGGCTTGGCTGATGACCCAGAGGCCTTCGCCGAGTTGAAGGTTAAGGAGATTAAGAATGGTAGGTTGGCTATGTTCTCTATGTTCGGATTCTTTGTTCAAGCTATTGTTACCGGAAAGGGCCCATTGGAGAACCTTGCTGACCACCTTTCCGACCCGGTTAACAACAATGCTTGGTCCTACGCCACCAACTTCGTTCCCGGCAAGTGAAGTAATTTAGTATGAATTTAGTGCAAATGAATCAAAGGTGTAACAATTTGAGCTTTGTATGCTTCAATGTACATGTGTTTTGATTGTTGAATGAATGTTCAAAATGCGAATTTTGTGTGCTTCTAATGTGACACATTGTTGAAATATTGTGACATCGCTTGAAATCAACTGCATAGTCTGTTTATTATTTGTAGTCAATCAGAATTTTTATGATTATAATCTAGAAAACCAAATATGAATAAATAAATAAATTACATATGTACCATAACAAAATAAATCATAATAAGAAGAATTTCTAATTGCATATACGTCATTAATTGTTCTTTATTTTTAAATCATCCTTAGATTCCTTACTAATAAACTAGCAGCCGAATTATTTATGTATAAATAAACAATTATAGTTGATATATAAATATGTATCGACCTAATGCAGGCATTCTTCCTCTATTAGACATATAAGCCATTTATCAGCTAATAGCAGACATCAATAAGAAGAAGACCTGCTATTTAAAAAAAAAAAACAGAACAATGACATCAATGGAGCTCTACTCGGCTGAGTAGTTCCCAGGATTATATCTGCTGAATTGCTAAGAAATGTCATTACTAATGCCACTCTCGAACGTTACAGATAGAAATGTAACCATGAGACGAGAAGTCTGGCCCTGGAAAAGCTTGTGTAGCTCAGCCAAAATAATCAGCTAAAAAAACCTAATGTACAGCATGTACCTGGGGTGTTTGGTATTGATAAAAAGGATGAAATTGAAGTTACATGTAGGTTTCCTGCGTTCAGAAAGATGTTGATAACTCCACAATTGTGGGGTTGGAGGCTGAGCTTTTGGCCTAACTAACTCGGCTACACAGGCAGGCTTGCTTATAAGGAATAGGGCTTTGCTGATGAGTATTACTTGAGAAGCATTTCCTCTGCATCGTATTATCTGGTTAGACTTTTATAGGATGAGGATGAAAAGACTTTCTTAAATGGACCGTCGAGGAGAATAAACTGCTCGTAAAATGTTTCCAGTGGTGTATATGGAGTAGTTCTCAAGGTTGATTAAGCACAAGTGCAGGAGGCTCGTAGCAGCAACATCTACTGCTTCCTTAATTGTTTCTCTAATCCTTTGTTTTGGTTACTCAGCTAACGTCATACAATCACAATAAAAGGATCTTTTTACCTGCTCGTCACCTGTTATACAACCTTGGGTGGAATCGTTAGTTCCTGTGGAAATCGAACCATAAAATCTTGTGATATGTAAAGAAAAGAGATTTATAGCTGGCGTTACCTCTGTATCAACTAAACAACAATATAATTTAGTTAGATTGGTTTAATTTTCACAGGTGACCAATCAATCTAAACAACAATCATGGGTGAACAGCAAATCTCAACATTAAATATATCGAGTATTAAACTTTTGTTCTTTCTTCTTACATCTGTTTATTATATACACTGTGGTAAACTCGACTCCTTCCCCCTCAAGAAAAGGAAGAACTTTCAATCTACGCATGTAGGTGATAAAATTCTGTACAGAAACAGTACCAAACATTCCTCCTCTGTTAGGCAAAAAGTACTGTGCAACAAGAAGACAAGCTTCTAGAAATAATGATGTGGAGCTCTCTTCAGCTAAGTAGTTATCCAGATTTTGTTCAATTGTCAAGTAATAGACTGCTCTCAAATATAACCGAAAATGATGAGGCCTCACACAAGAAGTAAGCATATCTGAACCTTGTATAGTCACAAGTGACGTTACCATTGCGGACTTGCAGGGTACATTGCGCCCTTGCTCCTGTTCTACAACTGTGGTTCCAGATATTAAGCACGTTTTGCAGCCCTTGCTCTAGTCACTGACTTCACATAAAGCTCCTCATACTGCTCAGCTGAAGATTCCCAGCTAAAATCCATATTCATAACCTTCTGGACAAGGTGTTCCCAACTCTCTCTATCATTTTTGTAGTATTGTATGGCACGGTCCAAAGCCCCGTTAAAACCCTGCAAAAAATCAAAAGAGCATCTCATGTCTTCAGACCTAACAAACAATTCGGTTCCATATAAATACTATTGATTCACTGTCATCCAAAACATTAGAAGAGGCCAGCGTCCATGAGAAGATAAAACTAATGTTGCAGTTTTGCTTACCTGTTCATCAGGTGACAAGAACGTAAATCCATTCCGGAACTCAGGTGGTATTGTTTCATCATCAACATCGAAAACACTGCAGATTAACAAAATAGCACGACTTTGAAAGGGTAGCCTAACTGAGTAAGAACCTAATGATAGAGTATATAAACAAAATATATTGCTATGTTTAAGAAATATATTTGTATACATCTTTTGTTAGTTTCGTAATATACTTTGTTCCAAAATAATCGCACAGCTTAATTTTTTTCACTATTTATGTACTTCCTTGATAATTCTTGATCTGTGCACCCGGGTGCACCATGCTCAAGGTGCACCCGGTCAAAAAAAACAAAAAAAAAAACCTAGCAGAAAGAACATTGTTATAAATTATAAAGAAACATTGATATATACATATAAAAGAACACGTCATTACTTTAATAGGTGAAAATGACCCCTAAAACCTTTAATGGAATATTTTTTTAAGCACGCAAATCGAGAAAAAAAATTAATAGGTGAAAAGTGGACCCCACTAATGGTGACCGTTAACGGCAAAATAACGGCAAGGTCACTATTGCTACATAATTGTAAGTTGAAGGTTACATTGTGTAACTTTTAAAGGAGGGGGCACAACTTAGAAAAGGGTTATAGTGTAGAATTCCCCTAAAACAACTATAATACCTAAATGTATATAGAGGAACAAAAGAACATAAGCATAGAAGATAATATTATTCAACTAAAAGAACATACTTTGAATTATTGAAACACAAAGAACATTTTTTATCTACATATATTAAAGAACATAGTTTATAATGGGAAATTTTGAAAAATACCACCATGTATTGTTCACATTTTGTACAATACCACCTTAAGTTTTTTTTTTTGTTTTTTTGTTTTTTTATTGTATAATACCACCTAGTTTTCTCAAAAACCTAAAAAACTCCCACCGCTTTTGCCCAACTCTCCTATATGACGTCACGGTGGGTCCTACTAACCATTTTTCCTTCGAATTTCACCTTTCTTCTTCCCTAATCATCCTAATTAACCAATTATACCCTCGATTTTGCATTGTCGTTTGGCTTGAAAAACAAATTAGCGAATAAAAACCCTAAATAACGCCTAATTGATTTGCAAATTGATATTAAAATTAGACAAAGAGGAAGAAGAAGGAAGAAGAAAGGTGAGAATCGAGGGAAAAGAGAGGAACAATTGTTAGTGGGACCCACCGTGACGTCATATAGGGGAGTTGGGCAAAAGTGGTAGGAGTTTTTTAGGTTTTTGAGAAAACTAGGTGGTAATATATAATAAAAAAAAACTTGAGGTGGTACTGTACAAAAGGTGAACAATACATGGTATTTTTCAAATTTTCCTTTATAGTGTAAAAAACACATCGTTCATACCCAAAGAATATAATGATCAAACTCAAAGAACATATTATGCTCGCGTTTTTTGCAAATGTCTATAATGTTCTTTTTTTTTTTTATCCGTGTTCTTCATACATATGTGTAATATTCTTCCGGGTGCACCATCCGAATGTACCATATTCCTTGACTTGTCTTAAGTTGTTCCATTTTAACTTGCAAGTTTACCAACAAGTAACTTTGACCCTTTATATCTATATTGTGTGATTGCAAAAATTATAAAAAAAAGTTGAGACGATTATGACAAACCCAACTTAATTATGTTATATGATGGTCATTTTGAAATGGATGAATATTATTAATGTCAAAGTGGAGCACTCAGAGACAATTTTAACTTTGATTAGAGTTATTCACCAACATATAATTCCTCCGTCTAATAATATTGCAACAAGGATGAAATTACACATCCCAAACAATAACAATAACAATAACAATAACAATAACAATAACAATAATAATAATACGTATATATTTAAGGTCAAACTTTTTGTCAGTGCCACATTTGACAATGTCAGTTAATCTTTGGACTAGAAGTAGTCATTAGGATTCTCATTAAAAACCCTTATTATTTAACTAGCCATGACTTTTAGAATGCATGTAGGCTAACAATAACAAATCAATACCACAATTTCCATCATTTTACTAACTACCCAATTTTTAATTTTTTTTTTCCTATTGAAAGTACCCTAGCCAATGGGCAAATACTATTATTTTATGGATGAGAATAATAGAATATTTATTACACATTAGGGATTTAAAAATAACATTCTCCCTCTTCTTTTTTATATCTTCCTATCTGTTTTGATATGTTCTTTTTTATCTTTCTACTTTGTTTTATTCCTTTTATGGTAAAAAAGTTTCCACTTTTATCACTTCTTATTCCACCACATAGTCTAAATAAAAGTATATAATAATACCAATACTTTTAAACAACTTTCTCTCTCCTACCTAAAAGAAAGGGAGACCCACTTTTCACTTACTATTTCATTTCATTTGAGCAATAAGTAGGAAGGAAAAAAAAAAAAAATTGAGGGAGAAATTAAATTTTAAAAAAATCAAAATTTATAATTGAAAGAGTAGATTCTATAATGTAATAAAAACATAATAGAAAATGACATATAAACATCTTCCTCACCTTGTTGATTGCCAATTAAGTACATTAATAATAAATAAAGAATTTGATCAAGTATCAAAAAGACAACTATTAAGATATTATATAAGAAAAGGGATACATTAGAAACTTTAAAGCATTAGATTAAAAATAAGCAAAAAAAAAATAAATATAACATCAACCAAATGTGTGGTAACTGTAAGATCAGTAAGTTGTTATGTACGTATATACTATGTAGTTAGTACTCATTTAATTACAACCAACGATAATGTTCATTACTCTAAAGTAAATGTGTAACATGGTTATACATAAGAGTGATTTTTGTTATCATTATTTAATTATTTTAAAAATAAATAAATAAATTAGTAACAATTCATGTAGGCCATTAAAATTAAAATTTGTCACGAATTTTGCTAAATATTAACTTTTTAATTATCTTTACATAAGATTTGCTTATTATCTTTCAAGTCATATAAAACATAAAATAGATAATTTATCATGCGTAGATTTTAGTGCTGCTCAATTTTTTTTCTTTTTTAAAATGTGTCAAATTATTTTGTGTCCTTAGAATTTGTTAAAAATGCAAGTGACACTTTAGTTATTATGGGAAAACAATTAATTTGATATTATAGTAGTGTTTAAATAATAATAACAGACAATTAGGTATTTTTAGGCGGACTGATCACCTCTCCCCTAATATAATAAAGATAAAAAAAAATACTCTAATCATATTCTTTTGATAATCTTACATAATATCAAGAGCATGTTAGATCTTAGCCTCTTACGATCTTTTATAAAATAATTCTTGTTGGCTGATGGGCTAACGAGGTAAAGCCATTATCAAGATTCAAAGACAATTATCCAAAAATCCAGATCTTTTTTTATCATACGACCAAGTGACCAACTCATCAATTCCAATGTAAACAAGAATATGTACCTGTCATTTAAGCCACCAGTCTTTCTTGCAATAGGTATCGCACCATATCTCATTGCAATCATCTATAATATAAGTAATTACAATCAGTTTTGAAATCCTACCATTGATGATAAATCCAAATTACATAAATGAACAGGCAAGCAGGTGTCCAAATTTGAATTATCCCTATGCAAAAATTTGATGGTCCCAATAAAAAAAAATAAAAAAAAAAATGGTCCATTTTACTTTAATGGCCCCAATGTATTTTATTCCAAAAAAAAAAAAAAAAAAAATGGCCCCAATGAACTTTATTCCAAGAATCTCCCCTTTCCTTAAGTTTCGTAAAGAATTTTAAATGGAACTAACATTATGAATCGGCGGAAGTAATTAAATCAAAAACCCTCAATTGTGTACTTAAGATTATTTTCAGAATAAACCCCCAAATTTGGAACTTTATTGAAAACATTGCAAGCATTTTGTTGTAAAGAGATAAAAGTATTGAAAGCATAAATGTATTCAAGAAAAGAAAAGAAAAGAAAAGAAAAGAAAAACACTATTAGCACTTAATTCTTGTCACATTGTAAAAAAGACGTAGCACTAAAATTTGAACTTTTGAGAGCTTAGGAAACAAACAATCTAGATAATTTTTTATAAATCTTTCCTATCCATGACCCAAATGCTCTCATATCACTAAAACAGTAAGCACATATATCAACTATGTCGAGTGATTTAGTACATCAAAATTAAGTCCAAAACTAGGCACCTTAATTTTGGTCAATATCATACAATTCATACCACCTACATGACGTACTCATTTTTCCCAACGCACTCTCCCTAGTGAACCGCATATTTTAGAATTAAACAGGGAGATAAGAGACAAATACACATAGCAACTCTGGATAGCAGTTACTGAATAGGATGCAACACCAAAATTAAAGCTTACCTGTGTCAGCCCACATGGCTCAAAGATAGATGGGATGATGAATATATCAGATGCAGCATATATTGAACGAGAAAGTAACTCGTCATATTTCAGTATCAGCCGCACATTATCATCATTCTGAAACTGGCTCGCAATGCCCTCAAATTCTCTCTGCATAGAAGGCAATTAAATTTTTTATATTAGCGCAAATTTGACATGCACAGAAAACCAAATATCTGGGTGATATCAGAAAGACATTGTGATGCTACAGCCCAAAAATATTCGCAATATTAAATCTCTCAATAACTGGGTGCTTCGCAGTCCTGATATTCAATGCGACAACAAGAAAATACACTTCAAGGTGGAAACGTGAAGGTCTCCAAGCAGTTGAGCAATGTTACTATTCTAGATCCTCTAAATAGTATTGAAGTTGTCATTCAAGGCAAATTATTTATCATTAAATCCCACTGCACTGCCAAAAGTATTAGTTAGATAAACAAAGTGATGCTGCAGCTCACTGAGTATAAAGAAATTATTCCATCAAGCAACTGGGAGCCTCCATTCTTGATCAATGCAGATCCCCACAGAAAAGATATTAAAGTAAACATCAAAGTGGAAGTACAGGGGCCTACAAACTATGTTACTACTTACTAGCTCTCTACATGAGATCCTCAGAAAATACTTCAAATGAATTAGTAATCAGCTCCTCCCTTGGATCTGCTTAAAGTGTCAACTGAAATATTGGTCTGATCCTCTCTTTGTTCTTTATCAAAATGCAATATCACTTAATCAACTTACACAACAACCACCATATAAAGAAACTTCTTATTTATTCTCATAAATTAGCCAGCTATGACTCTTCCAAATGCCCTGTAATATGTACAATATTTAAAAGAAATTTTCATCAAGAAAGTGTTAGTTTCAAGGATATGGAGCTATTGAAAAAACAAAAAAAAAAAAAAAAAAAAGTTGTTAATTAGTTTAGAAATACCTAATGTGGCTCCAGAAATTTCTGTAGGCTATCCATGAAAAGACCAATCTGAAAGTTTTTCTGACTGGGGCACATATAGGGCATGATTTAATTAGGGGTAAGTCAATACATTAAGAGGTGATAAAACTTAAAAGTCAAACTAGGGTAAGCAAAGGCAAGTAGAGGTGGTGATGAAGGGGATGAGGTGATGGTACACGAGATAAAGTTGTGGCGGTATAAGGAAGAAGGAAGTGGGGGGGGGGGAGTGAATCATCATTCTCATTAGGAGTGTGATAGTTACTCAACACCCTCACCCCCATTGTGTTACCAAATAAGGATAATAGTCCCACCCTCCCATCTCATCACACAACCACTACTTCATCCCCCTTACAAATATCTCTACTTACATTAATTTTTTTTAAGTTGATTTAATTACCCTTTTAATGAATCACCCCCAATCCAAGCATGATCTAAGGGTACAACTATAAAGGCAATGTAATTGAGCATTAATTGCATGAAATAATTAACAACTGCAGCTGGGCAAGTATATCTATACTTGCATGCAATATTGTCCTGACATCATGATTTCAAGCAATTGCAGTGTCTTATACAGTCTTTCCTACTTAAAACACTTTAAAATAAATTACCTATTATTTATTGAAAAAGGTTGCTCTCTTTAAAGGAGTAAATATCAAAACCCAATGTATGAAGGTAATATCCTTATAAATCTTATCCCAAGGTCTATTTACATTAAAATGTATCTCATGAGTAAAATTGCCCCATAGCAGGTTAAAGTTACCTCAAAATTGGTTGAAAGTTACCCTAAAACTATTCGATAAATACTAATATTACTTTACACCTGATGTACACAAGTTTTTGTTCCTACTTATCCTTTTCATAGCTTGGAATTCTATTTTTTTTTCCCTTTTAACTATTGCTTACTTCCAGTTTTGACCATAGCTTTCATGAACTCTGTATACTATCAAAACCCTACTCCACAACCCTGATGGGGCCGAAATATTGAATGTTCTTTGGTTATAAAGTCCCAATTCCCAAACTTCCAATCACTAGTCAACCATCTAGGTCACTTATATATTCAGATGCAGCAAACAATTATTACATTTTAAGATCAAAGGTTTAAGGGTAACACACTGTCCGTAATAACAAGAGTAAGGCTGCGAAGATATGTCCAGCATAATCACACCCTATGCAAGTGTCTTTTCGAGGCATTGAAAAAGTATGACAGCAGCCTGCTAAAGGCATAACCGCATAAGAGTGATATTAATGTACATTAAAAACTACCCCTTGGGAGTAATCAGGTATTAAGATTCAGACTTAAAAAGAAGACTCAAACCATAAGGCTTCTTTGCCAACTAGTGATTCACTGGCCAGTTGGCCACAGATTACAATTTTGCTACATATAGACCATGCTGCTTTGATAACCTTAAAATCATTTGCATCAGCAAGAATAGCATTTCACATAGATAAAAGAGTAAAGAACATGTAACTATCAACTAATCATTGTTGCTGAAACCAACCTGAATATGATGAACAGGACTGGAGCCAAGAAGAACAAATTGCCCTCCAAGCTCTATTGTCCGATATATAGCATGTCTTATTAGGTGTACCCCCTTTTGCGGAACCAACCTCGTAATGCAACCAATCTGCTCAACCAAAAATGAAGAAATTGCTGCAATCAAGAACTGTTGACAGGCTGGATGAAATCCAACAAAATGACAACGATCAAGGTGGAAAGTAATTATGTCAGCATAATTGTTCAAGTATCTAATCTTAAACCACTTAGTTCACCCTATTTTTACAGGCAATAATTTGTGTCAGCATAATGAAAACACCTATTTTTGATTTTATTGTACCTATTAGCCACTTCCTCGGATTTTGTAGTTGTTCCCTGTTGAATTTTGATGCTATTCACATTGTTCATAAATAGATTTGTATGAGAAGGCTAATAAGAAAATACATTAATTTTTAATTTTCTATGGTTAAAAGTTTCAGAGATTCATGAAAGAAATACTTACATAAGAAGAAATTTTAATATATAAATCAACCAAGAAAAAAGCTTACAGTAATAGGACAAGGTAGCCTAAGAGAGTAACCAAATCACAAATTACAAATTGATCCCTTCAATACTCCCCAGTTGACATTTATATTAATCAATAAATTCATGAAAGAACTGTGGTGCAATCAAGTGCTGCATGATAATAATTATTAAGGTAGAAGTCAGAAAGGTCAGTACTTCATTCAATGAACAAATCAAATGTCATACGGAGTTACATTTATAGTTTAAACTGCAAAATTAAAGCAAACACAATAAAACACTTTAAAGTTCAACATGGCAGCTTCACCCAATAATAAGAGTGTAAAAATACCATCATACAACGCAATATTGAAAAATAAATCACATGAGAACTATATATATGGCGGAAATAAAATAAAAAAGAACAAATGCCAAATTCTTGAAGCTTAGTGGATGCACATTATTCAATAAAAAATAAAAAAATAAAAAAGGTTAGCATCTAATAGCCACAGAGTACTTCAGTAAAAGTACCAACCAAAGGTCGTGTAGAATCTGAAAGAAGAAGTCCAAGACGTCTTCTTAGAGCTTGCTTATTCGCTGCTTTTCCCTGAAGATCACTTGAATTGTATTGCACTTCAATCCGTGAATCAGTAGAAGGATTCCATGTATCAGTATCAATGCCATTAAGGATTCCTATGAACTTTTTAGAGTGAGAATTAAGTGTTGAGTGAAGGCCTCTCCCGCCCTGTAAAATTAGAAATGCCATGAACAAAGCTTCATAATCTGAAGTCTAAAACACAATCTAGGAATAACAATCCAATATGAATAATGCACTCCGGGACAAAAAAATTTATAAATACACACTGGACTGGAAATTGAATTCATAGTAATCTTACCATTTTATATTCTTTTTACATGGGACAGACATACTAGATCTTGAAGTTCTATCTTTCATGTGTTCAGTGTAAATTAAAGCTGACCAATTCCAGTTCAATTGGTTGAAAAGAAATTTTAGTATGACTCGTAGAATAATGAATTTTGAACAAAGCAAGATACCATCACTTTCCAAAAGAGGAGAATACAGAAGTCCCAGTTCACAAGTATCACTACTTGGTTTCATAAGTCATTGGTAGCTCAGATCATCACAGGTCCAATCTATTAAAGAAATGATTAAGTACTTGCATCTAACATTGATATTACCTTTTTTATATTAGGTTAAGTCATATAACTTGTAAAAGATCACAATTCAAAGGAAATTGAAAGATCTTCACTTGTCAAACCAGATGTAAACTACAGCTGTGCACTTATTGCATGTAATTAATAGTTGATCTTTGATTTAAAAAATTAATGAATCATGAATCTAACAGAGGGTTCCTTTCACTCTTGCTTAGTTGTAGATTAAAGGAACACATAAACAATAAGATATTCCCAATGAGTAGCTGAAAAAATGATGTGATTTGGTCTTATCTTCCTAGATGATCTCATTCATACCTCAGGGCTCCGAACCTCCTGCGCATAGGTGGGTGACACTGTTGTTACAATGTTGGAGAACACCACTGCACCCTGAAATATTATAATATGTCAAAATAAAAATACATAAGCAGACAAATCCTGACTGATAATAGATGATAAATTCTTCTACCTTGACAGCATTAATCCTATCATGAGCAGAATTGTCCTGCATCCTATCTGGCCTGTTGAGCTGATAAACATCAAGACCACAGGAAGCCAGTTCTGGAGCTGGAGCAGTGCCTTGATACTCAAAGTTGTGGCATGTGAAACAAATCCTAGCTGAATTTAGTCCCTTTGATGCATAGAGATCCCAGTACAATGGTGCCTATACAGCATCAGTAACTCAATTAGTATTTACAACATGTACACAAGAGTGTGGAGCCTGAAGTTGTCGTGCACGTACAACAAAAGCTGTCTGCCAATCATGGCAATGTATTATATCTGGCTTCTTCCCAGCTTGAAGAAGTAATTCAAGTGCGGCACGACTGAAAAATGAGAACCGCTTGAAGTCATCGTTCTCCCCATAAAATTGTCCCCTCCAGAAGAATTTATCTGGATGATATGGCTCAACGAAGTAGACAGGAAGACCTGCAAATAACTTCAAGAAATCAGGAGAGATTGCAGGTGAATCCATATCACAAAAACAGTAGCAGTTGCCCTGATTTTATCACAAAGTAGATATGTTGCATGATTGGAGGAAAGAATAGAAAAGGTTACAAGATAAGCTTTCAAATTTAATTTTCATACCGTATTCATTTGATATAGACAGATGATAAGCGGATTTGATATAGAAACTATCAGTACAAGAAATGTATACAGGCTACAAGTGTGTATAAGATACTTCACCTTCAACTGTGCCAATCCAAATCTTGTTTTTGTATAATTGTCCATCAAAATATGACTCTACTTCCACGTCCAAAGCCTGAATGAATAAACAATAATATATGAGGATACACACTTAAGGATGGTGATATTCGACCATAATGCAACAATGTTTAGTGTACCCGCAAGTTATGAATGAGATCATACTGCATACAATCATATTTAGGAAGAATAATTTCCACGAGATGTCCTTTCTTCTGAAGTGCTTTACCAAGACCAGTCACCACATCTCCAAGACCTCCAACCTTCAAAGAATAGGAAAGAAAACATTGCAATTTCAAGAAGTTATTTTTAAAAACAGTATGCAGATAAAATATTAAACAAGGAGATTTGAGCACCAAAACCGGAACTCAAATTTACATCATTCCTCAAATTTACCCCAAAACCCCCGTTTAAATACAAAACCTTACGATGTCCCCTTTCAGATACCGAAATCACAAGAAAATAGCCATCTACTCACTAGTCCCTTGAAATCAAATGCGAGGTACTAAACGATTGAGTTATTTCAGTCTCCTTTTTACCCTCCTAGAACACTCCTCCACCTGCAAAAACTTGGGAGCTTTCCATGTCCTCAACCATGACTTGACTCTCAAGATCAATTTAGGATCATTCGATCTTCATTTGCCTAGGATCTTGGTAATGATAAGAAATAAAGTGCAAGAGTCTGTAATTTCAAATTTTCAATAACTCTGTTTCCAAAGAGTGAGATTGGGAAATAAGAATGTGTTATGGACTAAAGAGATTCATCGATCATCATAGTTTCTCAATTCCTCACCATAACCCTCTCTTCTTATTGACCCAAATACTCTTCTAATCATACGTAGTAATTTTCCTAATAATTTTCCTTATTCAATTAAACCTAAAAATGAATGTATAATTTAGATTAGTTTGATGAAGTTTCTTACCAAGTGATGGATCATTTTAAAAAAAAATAATGCCTTTTAGATACTTTTGTTTTTCATATTTAAGTCCACTAAGAATATAATAGTTTAATAGTTTATTTTTCCCCTGTAACATAATATGTTTGTAAGATCAATATTGAGATATTTTAAAGCAACATGAGGACTATTACACCATAGCACCGGAGGAATCGTTAAATTTATGAAACACATGTGCAACAGTTAGTGTCAGCAAAGCAAAATCTACAGAAGAAACCATATGCCTTTTTATATGTGAAATCAATCTGGATGAAATCCAAGTTTACAAACAACTTGTCTTCAATTCGGGTGAACGTAGTAAATCATAAGTTGGGAAAATAATAGAACAAAGTTCAAATTAGCTTAGTTGAAAAATAAAAATCACCAAACAATTCAAAACCTTATTATCTCCAAATTGTAGTACCCGACAATACTTTTTTATTGAACACAATTGGAAATAACAAATTACATAAAATACAAAATAAGTGAGCTTTTGAATAAAATGATGGATATATTATGAAAACTGAATGCCTTAGACCATGTTAAGTGGTGAGAGCATGAGACCCAAGTTGGATCTCAAAAACATTTCATATCCACTTATTAAGCTCCAATGATGAAGCTCAAAATCATTCTTTTTTTTCAGAAACTCAATAGTCCAATGGTGAGTCTCAAAAATAACTCCAAAATGTGCATTAATTCGATATTTATATTTTATAAAATCAAATTTTCACTTTTTCTAGAATAAAAACTACTTACAAAACTTATTTAATTTGGTAATCTTCTTTCTTTAAAATCTTTTGTTGACAACACACTCTCCCATTAATCCCTGGGGAATGGTCATTTCAAAAGTGGCTTAGTAAAAGAGATTTTAATGCATGATCGTAGTAACACTAATCAAGTGGCCCAGAAAGATTATACATTTACGCACTAAATCATACTAATTGTGTCACAAGGTACTGTCTAAATGCCGACTGTTAATGTAGAGTTGGACGGAAGACGACTATGCAACTTTTTTATGTGCTGTCAAGTGAAATGTTTATTCTATGGAGTGAGTGGCAACATAATAAATTTCTGGACCACTTGTTATTCTCAGGTACCTATAATTAGAATATAGAAATGACCATGATTTTCAAAGTATAATACTCCCTAAGTCTTCTTTATTTGCTGAATATTCCTTTATTTGCTCCTCTCATGGCAATTCTTCCTTCTACTTTTTCTCGTATATTTGACCCCACACTTGCCAATTCACTTTCCTTTCTTAGATTATCATGTTAAAATTGAATGTAGAAATTTTAAAAAAAGAAAAAAGAAAAAAAAAAAAAAAAAAAAAAAAAAAAAAGAAAAGAAAAGAAAGAGGGACTATACTCTTCAAATTATAAAAATGATAGGGTACTCGAGTTGTTTTCTGATGAACTTGCGCCAGATGGTTCTACATACATCACTTAGAGTCGCACATGCATGGGGCCATGGGCACATACACACGGTTATATACATTATAAGAGCACTTTGCTTTACCAATTATGGCATTTGGATGTACCTTTGCAACTGGTGCCATCTCCGCTGCAATGTGAATGACATGTAATGCAGACCTGAAGATATAAGGTTCTCCTGAGCATAAGTAATATATGGAAAAGGAGATATTATTGATTTAAAGAAATTGGCCAACACACTGAGAAACATACCGTGTAGAAGCAGATGTCAGACTCAAAAATTTGGCCAACATTTCACGTTCAGTCATTTCCTTACATTCCAAGTATACATCACAAACACTACGATCTCTCTTCCACACCATTTCCCTCAACATATCTGCATCATTTGAAGACAGTTTTTTCTCAAGCAACCATCCATCGATCATTAGAAGCATTTGACTCCAAAACTCCCAGGGCATATCATTGACAGGTCCCTCAGTAGCTCTCTCCTCATTCTCTTGCTTCAAATGATTAAGCGTATCTTGAAATTCCTTCATTGATTCTTGATACATGTGAATATAAGAGTTTATCTCTTCATCTGACCTTTCAAGGCGCTCCTCCAACAGCTTTACTTTTTGCTGCATTAATTCATTGTATTGCTGCATCTTCTCAGTTGACATCCTAAAATCATTTGCCTCAGAAAGAGATTCTTCCAACTTCTCCACCTTCTTACGAAGCTCCTGATTTTGCTGCAGTACTAGTATGGCATGTTCAGCTTGCTTGGTTGCATTATCAAGCAATGCTTGCAATTTCTGTACTTTCTCACTCAAATTATTATATTCATATTGCAGGGTAGAAAGTTTAGTTACATCCTCCTGAGATGTTGCAAGTTTACACTCCAAATCTTTCACAGTTGAAAGCAAATATGAACGCTCCTTCTCCTGTGAAGGCACTCGTTCATCTGTTATGCTGACATTACTAAGTTCAGCTCTGAGGGAAATTATATTATCTTTCAAAGAAACATTCTCTGCCTTAAGAGAATCAAGATCCTTGCTTAGACTATATAAATCACTATTTAATAAATGAGGATCTTCATTGCCAGAAGTTTCTTGTACTTCTTCGGCATCACTCTTCGAAGATTCCTTCCTCAACTTCTCCAACTGATCTTGAAGAAGCTCAACCTGTATCTTCTCCTCGGCAGCAACTTTGATTTTAGCATCAGTTTCTGCTACTTTCAACTCCAAGGCATTAATTTGTCTTTGCAGCGCTTCCTTCTCTTGTAGAATCTTCTCCAAATCTTCAAGTGCTCGAATCCTAGCTTGATTGAGGAGGAGGACATCTAATATATGACCAAAAACCAGCATGAGTGAGAGTATATTCATATGTAGCGTGATATGAGTGTTGTTACAAGATACACAAAGAGAGCTTGCCTACTTCCAATTTAAAATATAAAATTAAATAAATAATAAGAGAGATAGAGAGAGAGAGACTACTTTTCTCAGCACTCCTTATCATTTTGATCAAATCCTCAAATTGTAGAGATGAAAGCTGCTCACCACCAATTAAGTTCAAGGACTGAAATTGGAAAAGAATAGTCACATTTCATAATTCATAGATGAAGCAGGAAAGAACAATTAAGTATAATTGTAACTTTCAGAACACTTCTAATCAAGGGATAAAAATATACAGCAAAAGTACTAAAAACTGAGCATCACAAGTGACTTTTGTACCAAAGAATAGCAAAGGTATGTGTCCACAAATAAATTTGCAATCATAACTAGTCCTATTGATATACAACAAAATTAAGTAAACAAAAAGGGTCACAATGCTACATATTTGGTTTCTTTCCAAACCCATTTGTGACCCTTTTCTGTCAAAATCCTCTCTATGTCTACCTCTCCACTAAAACCACTTCTGGCCATATGTTCATCAATACTGCACTCATTATTTATTAAAATTTCTTGAGAGTGCAAATTTCTCTTGACTAAACCAAAGATTGTGCACACAATTTTTAAAGCATGGGGCCAGCTGTTTGTGAACAAGAGAGCACAGCCCACATGGCCCTTTAACAGCGGGAAATAACACATTTGCACTTGGCAGAATAGGCTAAAAATATCAAGTGCAAACATTCCACAATACTGAGATATGGATAAAACAAAATCAACTACCCGATATGATTGCTACACAACCTTTCCTCTAACAAGTAAACTGGTAGCAAGAAATCCGAGAATTATTCCAATTCCAATCATCTACAATTCCAAATGGGCCCATAGCATAAGCAAAACATAGAGGCTACACGTAGCATCATAAAGTTATACAGAGTTATAGACACCAAGGAGATAACCTTCTTAGTATAACTTTTGCAAATATCTTGTTATTTGAACTTGTGTAAAAGTCTATAGGTATTTTACATATGAGTGTCACGGCTGTCACCTGACAATTGTACATTTTATAGTCATTATAAGCATTTTACAAGTAATACAAGCACTCTGTAAAGCATTCCACTCTCTATATTTCACTACTCTTCCCATGCTTGAGCTTTTCTAAACACTACTTACTCTAGCTAAGCCATCAGGGAGACTTGACATTTCTTCCGACATGTTGGACTGGCAACAAAGTAACTGCATGTGCAGCTTTGTCTACCAACATTTTTCTCTTCTGATTGAGACAAACTATATTGAAGATGGAGAAAAGTCTAACACTAAGAACAATGTAGTAAGAGAGATAGATTACAACAGATACCTACTAATTTAATATCAATCTCCATCTCCTTGACAAGTGTCTATATCCCTAGGAGAGGCCAACTTTCCAGTAACATCCGTAATTCATAGCTTTATTAAGATTGGACATACAAAATGGCAAGCTAGGAATGTAACCCTGAGCATGGAGCATGATACTAGAATCATAATGTATTAAAAAAAAATGCTAAACCTGATCATCTTATACAAGGCAAGATGCATCAGATATGTTGTTTGAAAGATTGTTACAGGCATGCCTACCTAATTTGTAAGAGTATCCTATAAAGGAGCATAAGTGACGTTTTATGATTGCACAGGGCTCACATCTATCAAAATTATTTATCGAGGTAGCTAGTCTGGCAGACTGGCATCCAAATTGAATGACATGGACAATTGAGGTAGAGGTTGGAAAGAGAGGGAAAAAAAGGAGGGGGGGGGGGGGGGGTTGCTGGAATTTAAATGATGAATCCCTAATAACAAGACTACCTCTCCTTATCAGTTGTCAGGTCCAAACAAACCCTTACTAAACTCAATGACACTGAGTTTACTAACATATATTCATAAAATTACGTTTACACCCCACTGGAGTTCAACATGAAGAGCTTATTAAACCTCTCTCAATTATCAACATATGAAGCAAAAAGGTTCAGCAAAGATATTTAAATGATAATTTCTTAACAAGCTATTAAGCTTACCAAAGAATTATGATTGACACCGATATCATCGGTGTGAGACATCTTGGTGCTGTCTAGTTGAGTTATAATAGCACTGTTGTGACGTGGTGATGGCAACATCAGAGTTTTGTTATCTAACATCGGAAAGTTATCCAAATTATTCCCATTGACCTCCTTGTTGACTTCATTGTTTAAGTCATTCTGATGTATGCTCTCTTGTTTAGAACTTGAGACACCGTTGATTAAAGCATTCCCAAATTCAACATCTGCTTCGCCATCTGGTTCCAGATTTGCATCTATACGGAGTTTCTTAGGAGAGGTTTTCTTTACTTGTCGTTTTTTAGGTTGAGAACTGACATACACACAAAAAAAAAAATGGTAATTTAAGCGGAATATCCATGCAACAAGGGAAGATTAGACTCAAGAAATAGAAGAATTAGTTGCTGAATTTTAATAGAGAAACATTTATGTAAGACTATCTTACCATCATAAGACCACTTTTGTGAATCACTGAGCATGTAACCCCATCCCAATTTCTATCTCCCCTTGGCCCAACCCACCTACAATGTGGTCTTATGATGGTAAGGTGGTCATATTTAAAAATTTGTAATATTAATAACCTTTGTTTAAAAAGAAACATTAGATCCACACATAAACTAGTAATTGTATCCTTTGAAAATCTTAAGTACACATTTCATAAAAGAACTGATGATCATAGCTGAAAAATATGAGAACCATTCATTGAAACTATATTATCTAGATTCTGGCATGCATGAACTGATCCAATGAAAATTTACTAACTTATACCCTAATTGATCTAAACAACAGAGCTCCAAATGCATTGAATTTAACAGATATATATTACTTTTATAGGTCAAATTATATACTTGCATATAATTTTTTATTATCTAGTAGAGAATCTTAAGAGATTAAGGCTGACGAATGGAAAACTGAGGTCCCAATCCTAGCTTAGCCAACATTGAAATGTAAATTAGATGAACACTAGTGATTAAATATTAAATATAATTCCTGCCATTAATGAGTAAGTTAAATGATTCCAAATGAGAAAAGACAGATGTATAGTGTAATATCAATGTTAAATCAAAGAAAAGTATCACTTGTATTGTTTAGGATCCTCCTTAAACTAGCATATCTTATTTCTCTAGAACCCAACATTTTGTTCTGTAATTCCCAGAGCCGCTCCCCATGAAAAACTTCTTTTTGAGCCAACTCTTGAAGATTTTGAGTGAAACTCCTTAGGAAAAAAAAAAAGCAAAAAACAAAATAAAAACGTATTGAATATGGGATGGATAAGGCAAACAATAGATTGCTTTTTTGCTGGATACGCTAAAGAATTGAAAAGATGCACTTAAAAAGAGAATATACGTATGGATGCTAACTAACTATTGTGCATTTGACATACCATGAATTTCATATCGGTCAGTAGATATGGTATCAGTCTTTCATCAACTCAGATCAAAAACATACGAGTCATATTAACCAGTGCTAATAATCCTTCACGTGCAAGAATCAGGTTCAGGTAGCTAACAGACACATTCCATAACAGATTCACAGCTGATATGGAAACCACACTTGCATAACACCATTGCATGATGGAGTTTTACACCATTGCTGATTGCATGAAGGAGTTTTACACCATTTGGGAATGAAGTCGATGAACAGTTGAACACTCCCTTACATTTGATATTATTTTGAATTTAAAGTTGCAAATGTGACATTATCTTATTTGAATAGTTAATTTTAAGTACTCACAAGAGTCACAACACCCTTTTTAAAGAATTTATTAAAAATGCCTTTAAGCATTCTTTTCTTCTTGTAAAGCAACAATTACTTCACCCTTAGCTTAAACAACAGCCCGCAAACTAGATCACATATGAATCCAAGTGATATCTACACAGAATTTGGTAAGCGAACATGGAGGGAAAAGGAGGGGAGGGAAAGGGAGGAAATAAGTACCTATTTAAACAAAGTGTTAATCCTTAAAAAAAAAAATAATAATAAAAGAAAAAAAATTGGGAGTAGTTTTGTTAGGTAAGAATCTATTTGGTAAATCTTATTTTGTCTGAACTTGTCTCATTTGTATGTGACCTTGTCTAAAATTGACCCATTTTGAACTGAAGTGAGTTAATCAGAATTTATTTGAACTTATCCAAACTTACTTTGTCGGGTGATGATACACAAAAGAGTTCTGGAATCATCCCCAAAGAACGAAAGTAACTTACAAAATTTGAGAAGCAAACTACTTTGCAAATGTCAATCGATAAACATTGCATAAACAGAAATACAATTAATTAGGTAAATCCTAGAAAGATCTCCACCATATCAATAGTAGAGAAAAGTAAGAAAACCAACGACTAGATTCTTCCCATTTTCCTAGGACATGAAAGTTCAATGTTAATGCCACTAAACACACACACAAACTCGATTCTAATCAATTTCAGCCGAATTATTTATCCACAAAATCAATTGAATAAACAAAACCTTAAATCAAAAACTCAATCAATCGATTAACCAGTTCATAAATTCCAACAAAAATCACTCAAACTTCTAAAACAACAAACAAAAAAATTATAAAAAAAAATCGAAAAAATTAAAAAAAATTGCACCTGAGATTACGCTGTCGAATCTTGCAAGAAGCAGGAAGCAATCGATGATGATTACGAGAGAAATCAGCAGAGCACAAATTAGAGTGTTTAGTATTCAATCCAATCAAACCATGGCTCAAAAAACAAGAATTGAGTTTCGCCGCCATTGTTGGTGAGCTCACTCACATTCACATGAACTGTGTTAGATTACAGGAGGAGAGAGAAAATGAAGAAGATACGAAGATGACATGCAACGTTTTCCTCTCCACAAAACCTCTGTTTTCTTTTTATTTCTTTTTTTGAGTTAAACGAGTTGACTCAGTTATTATATTACGAGTTTATCCATTCAAAGTGTTTTATGGTCTCCACAGTTTTCGCATCTTTTTCACTTGCACTTCATTTAAGCCTTCGTCACCTTTCAAGCGCAATGTTTACCTTTGATTGCTATTTTTGTCATCTTTAATTTTCTCTTTTTGGCCCACGTGGAGCTCTTTTGACATAATTATTAGAGGAATTGAATTAATTCATTTATTGTTATGTTCGGCTTGATTGAATCAATATCTACTGCGGTTTTTTTTTTTTTTGAAAGATAAGTTATTTGAGTGAACTATTTTAGTGGAAAATTAGATTAGTACCCTGCATTGCACGGTGGTAATAAGTAATTTTTTCATATTTCTTTATCTTTGTTGTTGATAACATTTTAAAATAACTTGGCTTGCTTTTATATATATATATATAAAAAATTGTTTTATAATTATTAAAATGAACATGTATATAGTCCTTTTGTTAAATGATTATTATTAAATGACGCAACATAATATTTACTATGTTATGTAAAATATACTAAAATAATGGTTAGACAAAATATATTTAATGTTGCATTATCTATTGAGCTTATATATTTAGAGTGGAAGCGAAAAAAAGGTATATAATTAGCTATCAATATCTATATCTATTAAATATTGTTGTATTTTAAACATCCAAAAGTAATACGGAGTATACAACAATAGTGATGCCAATGTTAAGTTTCGTATTATAGTTTCAAACCTACTTGGTCCTAGTTTCTATCAATTAAAAAATAAAAATAAAAATAAAATAAATAAATGATGACGTCATATGTAAATTTGGAGGGAAAATTTTTAATGAGAGCTTGACACGTAAGACACTCCAAGAGATTGATGACATCAACATGTTTTGTTTTAGTAATAGCTAATAGATGATCCAATATGCCAACTTTCTCCTATGTGTTATACTGCTATTTAAATGTTTTTTCAAATCGGAAAAAAATTAGGTAAGTTGGACTTACGGTGAGTCCAATATATTTGACAATAATAATCTAATATCTGACAATAATATTCTAATTTGTGAAATTAATATTCTATTATATGACATTAATAATCTAATATTTGACATTAATAATCTAATGGAAAAATTGTAATACACCATAATTTTATGTATTTTGTAAATTATTTAATTAATTATAAAATATATTTTTAAGTGCTCAGTATTTTAATTTAAATATTTAAAGTGCTAAAGTATTTAAATTATTGAGTTTTATAAAAGTATAAATTATTTTGGGCTAAACGTTTATTAATTGTTTGGGCTCATTTAAACGATAGTATGTAAACAACCCTTATATACTCCTAGTGGACCTATCCATTTCATTTAAGTAAGCCCAATTCTTTTATTTGAACCCTTGTGAGTCAAATATTTCATGACTAAAGTCCATTTAATTACTAAGCCCAAACCCAATCTCTACTCTCTACTTTATAAATATCCCCCCAAACCCCAAAATTTTCCCACACAAAGAAGCTCTAGGGCTTTTATCGAGTGGTTTTTCTTGCGATTGTCGAGTGGTTCGTCCTCCTCTGAAGGGGTGGTTGGTTCGAGTAGGCTCGTTGGTCACTATGGCAGATGAGTTGTCGAAACGGTGGGCAAAACTAAGCATCACAGAAGAAGAGGAGGATGTTGCCGTGTTGGAAAAGAATGACGCAACTTTGAACCCTCGTAATCTTAATCTTTCTCTGGTAGGTAAAGTTCTCTCTCTCAAACCATACAATTTTGAGGCCATGCAAAATACCCTCAAGAAGGTTTGGTCCATTGCTCGTGGGGTTGTATTCAGGAGAATAGAGAATGATCTTTCCATTATCCAGTTCTTTCATTGGAAGGATATGTTGGATAATTTAGAGTGTTGTAGTGGAGAGATCGCTCCACTTGTTAGCGCGCTTGTGAAAGACAAGCGCGGACCGCTCCAAAAACGCGACAAAATCGCGCTGAGTTTCTGGAAAATCTGTAAAGTTTAGGAGGCGCGCCCACGTCTCCGGATGGCGCGCCCGCGCCATGGTTTGGCGCGACCCGCGCCTAAACCGCGACAAAATCGCGTCAGGTTTCTGGAAAAGTTGGAATTTTGGAAGAACGAGGAGGAGCGCCCGCGCGAGCAAGTGGCGCGCCCGCGCGCAGGGGTGGCGCGCCCGCGCTGCTGTGGTGGCGCGCCCGCGCCTCCTCGCTCGTCTTCAGTTTTTGCGGTTATTTCCTTTATATCGTTTTCGATGTTTTGGTTTTTGATACACAGAACATAATATTCCTCTCTGGAAAAACTCTCTCTTCTCTCTACAATTTTATTGAAGAATCTTGCATACTTTTCTTTAATTTCTCCATCATTAAGTTTATTGATTGAGAATTTATTCATCTTATCACACATCTTTGTGCTTAGAGTGTGGTGTTGACTATTGTATCTCAAAGTGAGTTTCCGGTTTCAACCCAAGCACCGTGGTGGGGGAAATTATCACTTTAGGAAAGTGTATACACGCCTTAGTCAAGTATCCGGTATAGAAGACTCACGTGGTCATTGTTTTTCTCATGTTCTTGGTGGATATCGGCTTGGAGAGAGGCAAGTAAAGAACTATTCACATTAGTGTTATTTTTGTTGTAATTTCTGAATTATATTGCTAATTTAGTTCTTAGTTTGTGATAATACTTTAAGTATTTGGTGTTGTGTATTTAATTGAATTTTATACACATATTAGGGTTTGTCCACCATTGTTATTTGATTCTAGTTGTGTAGAATCAAAGTAGTAAACCCTAACATGATAAAGTGATAATTGTTTGAACAACATGTCTAGTGTGAAAGAACTTACCACAAACTTTATCAAACTCAAGAAGTTTGACGGTGTGGAATTTCGACGATGGAAGAAGAAGATGTATTTTCTTCTTACATCGTTGAAGGTTGCCTATGTGATTAGCACTCCTAGACCGGTAGAACATGAGAATGAAACAATGGAGGATGTGCGTGAGAAATCTAAGTGGGATAATGATGACTTTATATGTCGGGGACATATTCTCAATGGGATGGAGGATGATTTGTTCGATGTGTATCGACATGTCGAGTCTGCTAAGGAGCTATGGGAATCGTTAGAAAGCAAGTATATGGCAGAGGATGCTTCTAGCAAGAAATTCCTAGTAAGTAATTTTAATGACTTTAAGTTTGTTGAAGGTAGATCGATTATGGACCAATTTCATGAGATACAATGTATTTATAGTAACTTGAAACAACATGGTATCAATGTTGATGAATTGTTTGTTGTTTCGAGTATTATTGATAAGCTGCCCATAGTTGGAAAGATGTTAAGCATGACTTAAAACACAAAAAAGAGGACATATCTTTGTCCAATTTGGCTACCCATCTTCAAATTGAAGAGGGGATAAGGGCCATGGAGAAGGCTAAGGATGGAAATCCTAGCTCTTCTACCATTAATGTGGTGGAGGAAGGCAAATCTAGTGCTTCAACTAGTGGTAAGAGGAAGAAGTTTAATTCCTCTAAGGGCAAGTCCAAGAAACAAAAGGACAACAACAAGAATGCTTGTTGGGAATGCGGTAAGACTGGACACCGCAAGAAGGACTGCTACATTTTCAAGAAGAAAATGGAGAAATCCAAGGATGGTCAAGCTTCTAAGAGCAAGGACCAACCCACCAAAGGTAATTTATTACATGAGGTTGAATTTAATTCCGGTATGGATTTAAATGCAACGGATCCTAACATTTTTATGGTGCAGGATGATGACTCTTGGTGGATGGATTCGGGGGCTTCAAGGCATGTATGCAAGGTGAAGCATTGGTTCAAAACCTTTCACAAGGTTGGTGATGGAGAAGAGCTCTTTATGGGAAACAACTCTACCATCATGGTCCAAGGAAGAGGACAAGTTGAGCTGATGTTTAGTTCGGGCAATAGTATCATCCTTAGGGATGTATTATATGCTCCTAGTATTTCTAGAAATCTTGTATCAGGCCCAACCCTGAATAGACTTGGATTTAGACTAGTTTTTGAAGCAGATAGATGTATTATAACTAAGGGTAGCACTTTTGTTGGACGTTGTTATTTGTCTCATGGATTGTTTAAACTCTCATTAAGAGAGAAGTCTGTAATGTTGGATGATGTTTGTTTTAATGTTGGTAATGACAATAGTATGAATTTGTTTTCTTTATGGCATTCTAGATTAGGCCATGTGAATTACAATAAGTTGTCTTTTATGTCTAAATTAGAACTTATTCCTCCATGTGATTTTGCTCTTGATAAATGTACTACTTGCATGCTTAATAAGATTACTAGAACTCCTTTCAAGAAAGTTGAAAGATGTTCTAAGATCTTAAAATTGGTTCATAGTGATTTGTGTGACTTTTATAGTACACCTTCTTTGGGAAATAAAAGATACATAGTTACGTTTATTGATGACTTTTCAAGATTTTGCTATGTGTATCTTTTATATTCCAAAGATGAAGCCTTGGTTAAATTTGATATTTATAAGAAAGAGGTTGAAGTGCAAGTAGAGTCTTTTATTAAGAAATTGAGAACCGATAAGGGAGGAGAGTACTATGATCCTGCTTATTTCCAATCTTTGGGTATTATTCATGAGACTACAGCTGGTTATGCACCACAATCAAATGGTGTAGCTGAAAGGAAGAACAGAACTCTTCAAGAAATGGTTAATTCCATGCTATCTTACTCAGGTTTGAGTGAGGGATTTTGGGGTGAAGCTATGTTGACGGCTTGTCACATACTTAACCGTGTTCCCACTAAGGGAAAGGATTCCACTCCTTATGAACTTTGGTACAAAAGGAAACCAAACTTGAAGTATCTCAAGGTTTGGGGTTGTAGGGCAGTCGTAAGAGTGCTCGGCAACAAGAAAAAAGGGGCTTGGAATGCATTTTTATAGGTTATGCTGAGCATAGAAAAACCTATAGGTTCTATGTGATAAAACAAAGTGACTATATTTCGAAACATTCAATTGTTGAGTCACGTGATGCAATTTTTGATGAAAATCGGTTTTCATCAATGAGTAGACCAAAGGATCTACAAGTTAGTAACAAAGGAAAGGAAATTGTTG